AAGAAAAGGCAGAACGTTCTTGAGAGCCTGGTGTAGAGAGGTCTGTGGGAGGAGGCAGAGTTTGCGTTAGAGCTGGTGAGGGCTTTTGTGGTTCTCTGAAGGCTGGAATTCCTAGATTTCCAGCCCCAAGAGTTAATGTTTCCAAACTCAGCCATGTGGATAGGTGTAATGATCTGAACAGGGTATGGCTGTCTGCAGCACAGAGCATCTGTCCGGTCAGCGGCTCTCCTCCTCGCTACCTGCCGCCATCAGAATCCCCCTGGGGGGGGGGCTCATTAGAGCAGTTTTCCCGGTCCTACCCCCTAGTTTCTGATTTAGTGGGTTTGGATTGGGGTTGAACTGATAGGGTAGATGTGCTGTTCTGGGGAGCGTGATTTGAGAACCCCTGTTCTCTGAAGTCTAGCTACAGCTGTTACACTGCAGGCCTGTTTAGCCTTCTAGTTAATGTAGGAGGAAGTCCTTCCTGCACCATGGCATACTTTGTATGCTGTACCATACATAGCAAATGAAAGGGCACTGAGGCCATTAGTAAACTGAAGGGCGTTTGGAACGTCAGGTGGTGGCTGGCTCAGGGGTAGTTCTGGCTTTTCAGCTCTCCTGTAAAGGAACCGTAGGGGATTTAGCTCAGTGGTTGAGCGCGGGTCCTGGGTTCCATCCTCAGCTCTGGGAAAAAAAAAAAAAAAGAAAAAGAAAAAATGGTGCAGACCAGAACCAAACTGTAAAGGGACCATAGCTTGAAGTACCTCTGTCTTAAGAAATGGCCTTCACTAGGATTTCTGTTTCCGCAGCCAGAAGCCATAGATTAGACAACCAATAAGGTCCACACAGTGAAAATAAGGTTTCTCCACCTTGCCTGCTCCCAGACTTCTAATAGCCCCTGACTTGCGTCCAAAGCTCTGATAGCCCACTGACTTAGAACTTGTCTTTGTGATACATGGACAGTTTTGTGGGGCCACATTCTGCTGGTGCCGAGCAAAGGCCTTAGTGCCTCGGAGTCACTTAAACCAATCAGTTGTTTCAATTTGGTCTATGACCGACCCACCGCTTCATTTGTGGGATTGGTCCCCGTGGGAACATTTCAGATGACCCAAAGTGTGAAAAGAAAAAAAAAAGGAAAGAACTTTGAGGAGGCATTTCAAGCTTTTTCAGGGTGAGCATCTGCAGGTATAAAATACCAGGGAACGGGAAAAACAAGTCAGACCACTTACTGTTGAGACCTTGAGGATAGTAGCTCATGAAGGTGGGTAGGGCAGGTTGTAAAACTGGAGATGGCACTTTGAGATTAGGCTGTTTCTCTCTGTGCAGGGATATCTCTCCATTTCCCCTACCAAGCAGGAAGAGGAACCCTCTGAGGGTGGAATTCTCACAAGCACTAGTGACTAAATTCTGTGTAAATTTTATTGCTCTCACAAAGTTAGACATGTAGAGGTTTTGCCTTGTGTCTCATTAGGGCGCAGTGAGTTTAAGGCCCCCCCCCCCCAATGATTTCCTTTGTTTCAAGGATGGGTCCGAGTACCTAGACACAATGCACACCTCAAGCTGAGGTTGAACTAGAAGGGACAGCGTGCAGTGAGAAGGGACAAGGCTTAGATTTCACAGCAGCCATTGCACCTTCTGTTTGGCTTTGAGCAGGTTGAGGTGAGTTTCCTCATCAGAAACTATTGATAACCCTATCTACCTGGGTGGTGCTACATAAACATGATTAGACTGCTTGTCATGTGATAGACACTCACCAGGAGAAGTTCCCTTTCCTTCTTAGAAGTAGAGGGCTTTCCGGGTGTTGGTGGCGCACGCCTTTAATCCCAGCACTCGGGAGGCAGAGCCAGGCGGATCTCTGTGAGTTCGAGGCCAGCCTGTGCTACCAAGTGAGTTCCAGGAAAGGCGCAAAGCTCCACAAAAAAACCCTTTTTAAAAAAAAAAAAAAAAAAAAAAAAAAAAAAAAAAGAAGAAGTAGAGGGCTTTCGTCCCATCTCTAGACTGGCTGCATGTGGGTCCAGCCTGACTGCCCACAGGTGAACTTGGGAGGAAGGCAGGCAGGGGAGAGAGGAAGATGGAGGATGGATGGTTGTCATGGCAGCATCACACTCACAACAAACGACAGGACACTGATTTTGACGAGGAAAAGGTGTTTTCCCCAACCTTTGAGCTTTTTGTTGGCTCTGACTTGAGGGGGCCAGGGTGGAGAAGATGGGGTTCACAGAACCCTGTTGTTTCCACCGAGGAAGGCAGAGACTGGCGAGCACCTGTGCGCCCGCCTGCCCTGGTTGCTGGGAAGCCAACCCCTCTGCTTGTTTTCCTTCTGCCATTCCCCGGGGTGCAGGATGTTTTCATTAATTCTCTAGGAGGGAGCCGGGGGAGGGTTAAATGAAGTCATAAGGTTTTGTTCACAGGTGACATAATCGGCATCCTTCTAATGAGTATAATTAAATTTTGAATAAAATCTGTCCTCATCATAATTACTTCTTTTTTTAAAAAAATTGATCAATAGTTTATTGGTTCACCACACCATTCCACCACCCCCGCCCCATAATTACTTCTTGTATGGCTCTTTGAAATAATATATTGTATTTTGACTTCTCAGAAAAAGTTCTTTTTTTGGGGGGGAGGGCCAGGGTCTCACTATATAGCCCTGGCTGTCAGGCTGGCCTCGAACTCACAGAGGTCCACCTGCCTCTCTGCCTCCCAAGTGCTGGGCTTAAGGTCGTGTCCCATTATGCCCAGATACCGTCTGTTTTCTTTCTTTCTTTTTTTTTAATTGGAATATGTACCTTCTTATTGATGTACCCTGTGTACCTCCAAAAATTAATTATTCTATTCTTTAAACTTGTTTGTGTGAGATAGGTTTTTGAGATAAACCTTTGAATTTAATCTCAAGAGTGAGTCTGAGGCATTCCTTGGTTGGCTGGACTCTGTTGTGTGGATTTCCATCTCCTTTCTCTGTGAGTTCTGTTTCATGCATGAAGACCCTGGGGTAGAGGCTTGGCCCAGGGCTTGCCGGAGGCTGCTGTGGAGGGACGAGCCCAACATTTGGCCCTGGGAATGAAGACTCTGAGTTTTTCTTCTCTCAAGACAGATCTTAGTTGTATTTTCGCTCTACGTTCTTTGCCTCTAGTTCCCCAGGAAATCCTTTTCCAGCAAGCTCTGGGCTTCTTTTACTCCACTTATTGTGTGTGTGTGTGTGTGTGTGTGTGTGTCTGTGTGTGTCTGTGTGTGTGTGTGTAACTCAGAGGACAGCCTGTGGGTTTGGTGCTGCCCTTTTACTATGCGGGTCATCCTGAAGGCCAGGCTCTGGGCTCCTGACCTGTGCAGACACTGGGCGGGGCTTTGGAGACTCCCGGAGCAAGGCTGCCCACATTACCATTTTTATTAGGTCTGGGTCCTTGGGAAAGTTATCCAATCCCTTGAGCCACAGCTTCCTCATTTCTGAGAGAGGTGTCATACCTGTAAGACTGCCTAGGAAGCGATCTGCTGTTGAGTGTTGTTAGCAGTCCAGCCCGGGTTGGTAGCCTGTGAATAAATAGTCCGTTGTCTCCAGAAGTTAGAGATAAGTGAGTGAGCCGTTGTGTGAGTAAGAGACGTCGTGGCAGGGAGTAGGTGCCCTGGCTGGAGTTGATAGAGATAGATGTGGGGAGATAGGAGACTTTGTACCTCACCCTGCGGGGACTTCGGGGAAAGGCCACTCACTACAAGATGGCTGCACTTGAACCAAGATTTGGAGCCCAGTGAGGGATTAGCAGGGGGAAGGGCATTCCAGGCAGTGCGAAGGCTCCAGAAAAGTTCCTGCAGGAAGGGAAAGGAAGGGGAGGAGATCCTGGAGAAATGTAAGACAGGCTTTCAAGAAAAGGAAGCCTTTTATAGTTCTGATGAGGTCTCTAGAGTAAGAGCAGGCCTTGGACTCGGCAAAGCTGTTGCCCGAGAGGGTGTTGTGTTCGGTTGTAAGGAATTCAGTGGGAGCCAAGAATGGTCCCCACCCGGGCCCCCTGCAGTGGAATCTAAGTTCTCCTTGGAAACCCAGCTGCTGGCTTGGCCCTGGCCCCGAATTCCACTTTCGGAGGGAAATGATCCCATCCCTTTCTGACCCTGAATATGAAACAATGAAGAAAATCACTGAGTACTCTCACAGCAGAGAACACGAACTATAAGGTGTACTTATCACAAAGATGCTGGTAATAATTGCAAGGGTATAAAATAGCAGAATAATCTAATTACAAGTTTGCCATTACTTGCCAGTTATGTGGGGAAAAAAAATGCTCAATTGGTTCTAAAGGGTTTTTGTTTGTTTGTTTTTCGAGACAGGGTTTCTCTGTGTAACAGTCCTGGCTGTCCTGGAATTTGCTCTGTAGACCAGGCTGGCCTCGAGCTCCCTGAGAGCTCACCGAGATCTCCTGTCTCCGCCTCCTCAGTGCTGGGAACAAAGGCGTGTGGCACCACCACCACCCGGCCTAAAGGATTTACTTGTATCCAGTGTATTAGGAGTTAGTATTACTGTGTCCAGAAGACATTGTAGTAGATAAGATTCTTCCTCATGCCCTTTACTCATTCAAACATCCTTATGAAGTAATTGCCCCAGTTCATGCAGGCGAGAACAGTGAGATCTGGAGGCATCCAAATAGCCTGATGCCATTATTCTTTTCTAAAGATTTATTTTTAGTGTGTGTGTAAATGTGCACACATGCATGCAGATGTCCACAGTGGCCAGAAGACAGTATTGGATCCTTTGGAGCTGGATTTATAGATGGTTGTGAGCTGCCTGATGTGGTGTGTTGGGAACTGAACTTGTTTCCCCCCCAATTCCATATACGAGCTGCTTCTGATATGGATGAGATAGGTAGGTGGGTGTAAGATAATTACCGTAGCTAATTATTTCACTTAATTACATTCTGAGCTAAATAACTATTAGCTACATTATATTGCAATAACTTTCCCCCATTTCTTTAACCCTTTCAATTATGAGTAAATTATGGCATGGTCTCTTGAGTTTTTTTTTTTTTTTTTTTCAGGTTAAAAATGTGTCCGCAGGCACACAAGACATGCCTCCACCACCATCCGACTATGCGGAGAGAGTTGACAGTCCGATGGCCTACTCCGCCAACGGCAAAGTGAATGACAAGCGGTCATACCCAGAGTCTTTCTATAAGTCAACACCATTGTAAGTAGCACCTTGATTTGATAAAAAATTGTCTAAAGAGGAATGTTGGCTAATTGCTTTGTGCCATCCTCCCTCACACTGTTGGGAGTCAGAGCCATTCCCCTTTAAAAAGTATCTACCAGCCAGCACCCACGAAAGCTGGACAAACCCTCCTTCCTGTTAAAGTGATCTTTGCTGGAGGCCTAAGTGCTTCTTGGAAGCGCAGGAGGAGGAGGAGGATGAAAACTTCCTTTCATCTAGTATTGAAAGGCCGGGTATGTGGCTTTTCATTAGGAGTGGGGATCTGCGCTCTGCTTGGAGATGAGCGTGGAAGTTAACTGAACGGAGGTCTGTGTGTCACTTAGCTTTCTGTCTCTGCCTGTGAATATTAGGTCTCACAAATAGACAGGAAAGGGTGCACCTCGACCAGCTCTATCCACACACGCCTGTTAAACTAGAACGCACTATTTGAATTCCGGAATTTGGGTTATTTGTCTGTTTTTCACCGTTTAACAAAATACCCAAGGCAGATTTACTTTGTAAACCTCGTAGTTGGGGACGTAAGAACACTGGCCCCTGATTGGCCCTGGTGAGGACCTTGTAGTGAGGCAGCATCATGGCAGGTGCGTGTGTGGACATGAGAGAGGGCGAGTCACGGGTTGACATGTACCTCAGTTCCCCTTGTGGAGGGGAACACTCTGAGGGACCTTAGAAACCTCCCAGTCGGCTCCACTGCTCAAAGGTCCACAGTGCCACCCGACATCACCATCTTAAGGACTAAGCCTGGCATGACTGAGCTCAGGGAGGATACACTGGGAGCACATACAGAATTGGCATTTCCTTTCTGCTTTCCATGTCGCTGGAATGTGTGGCTCTCACAGTTAATGTGTGCTGTTTCCCCATCATATTCACCTAACTCCATCCTGAGTAACTAATCATTTCCTGTATATGACCATCTATTAGTTTAACCTTTAACAAAAATAAGATTTACATTAGGAGTTACGGGGAGAAATAGGGGTGAATATGATCAACATGTATTGAATGAAAATTTCAAGGAATTAATAATTCTCTAATAATATTAAAAAAAAGATTTAATTTATTTTAAATTACGTGTGTGTGCATGTGTGTGAGTGTATGTGTGTGTGTGTGTGTCAGGTGCCCAGTGGAGGCCAGCTGTCAGGTCCCCTGGAGCTGGAGTGACAGATGGTTGTGAGCTTCCTGATAGGGGTGCTGGGAACTTGACTTGGGTCATCTGGAGGAGTGGCAGGCACTCTTCATGGCTGAGCTGCCTCTCCAGCCCTGGCTGTTGTCTCTCCTCCTTCACTAAAAGTGTGTGTGTGTGTGTGTGTGTCATCAGAAAAGGAGGATTCTTGTAAATCTGTTTTCAGCCCTGTATGGTCTTGAGCACCAGTCATTCATACACCGCCGAGCTAAGTACTCCTGGGAATACATCTTCATGTTCTCAGAGTTCACCAAACAAAGGCAGCAGGCGCAATGACAACAGTCACTCCAAGGCCACAAACACAGTGAGGGCAGATCAGGGGAGTGTGTCCGAATGAAGGTCCGCCGTGGGCTCCGGTAAAATAAACACTAAGTTAAATACTTTCTTACTTCAAGAAGGAAATACCGGGCTGGAGAGATGGCTCAGAGGTTAAGAGCATTGTGTTCTTCCAGAGGTCCTGAGTTCAATTCCCAGCAACCACATGGTGGCTCACAGCCATCTGTAATGAGATCTGGTGCCCTCTTCTGGCCTGCAGGGATACATGCAAGCAGAACACTGTATACATAATAAATAAATCTTTAAAAAAAATCCTGCCTTAATAATAATAATAATAATAATAATAATAATAATAATAATAATAATAAATGTGTAAAACAGTAAAGGTACTTTGATACTTAACACCAACCTTTGGCTTCCACATGCATGTATGTATACACAGGGGCACATACACAAACACATATGCACACAATTGTGAGCATGCAAAGAATTAACTATAGGAACTTAGTGTGTATATTCAAAGAAACATTCTGGTCCTAGTAAATAAAATTAAATAAATAAATTAAAAAAAGAATAAGGAAATACTAGGACACAGTCACAGTCAGATCAAAGCAATGTCCAGTATCTGGGAGTCACTCACAGTGTTCTGGGCTCCTCCAAAGGGCTTGGGTCACTTCTCCAGCTCTGCCCCCTGCAGCACACACACAGCTTGTCTTCAAAGCTTGGGCAGGCTCCACTCCACGGCTGCTGCTGTTCTTGGTGGTCATCCATGGTACTGGCATCTCCCAAATGCTGGGGTCTTCTGCTGCAACTGGGCTGTCCTTTCACCCCTCCTAGAATCTCTTTGTGGAGCCAGACCTCAGCTTCTCTGCATGACCCCTTCAATCCTAAGCCTTTGACTGCCGCTGAGGCTGCACCTTCACCAGTGGTCTCTCCTGGCCTCTCACAGAGCCAAACCTCAACTGCTCTCCATGACCCTTTCATGTCTTCAAAACCAGTGCCACCTGGGTGACTCCTAGACTACCAACTTCGGCTACCGGCATGAGGTCCAACCATGGCCACCTCTGGAACACAGCTTCTCTGTGCCCTCTGGAAGCACTTCCCTGAAGATTTCACCTCAATGATGCCGGTCTTTTCTTTTCTCTTACCACTAACTTCTCAGCTTCAGCGAACCAGCATTGATGCTCCCAGGAACTCAAAGGTTTTACTTGAGTGCCTCTGGTCTTTTGCTAATCACAACCGATTCTTCATCCCCAGCTGACCAGAACTCCAGATTCTTCACACAAATGGCCTGAATCGTTGCTTTGCTGTCCTCTGAAACTTCCCAAGCCAGGCCTCCGTCATCTGCACTGCTCTCAACGTTCTTATCTCCAAAGCTCCGCTAGAACAGCTCACTGGACTCTCACACAATGAGTTTTCAAGGCCAAAGCCACAATCCTCCCACAAACAGCGTGGTCAGGTCTGCCATGGCAATACCCCACTCTCCTGGTACTAGCTTGTCTTAGTTAGGGTTACTATTGCTGTGATGAAACACCATGATGAAAGCAAGCTGGGGAGGAAAGGGCTTATTTGGCTTATACTTCTATATCACACTGTTCATCAGTGAAGGAAATCAGGACAGGAACTCATGGAGGGCAGGAACCGGGAGGCAGGAGCTGATGCAGAGACCCTCAAATAGACCAACCATATCCAAAAGGTTGTATTTGAAGCCTGGCATGGTGGTACATACCTGTAGTCCTAGCCCTTGAGGAAGTGGAGGCAGGAGGATCAAGAGTTCAAAGTTATCCTCGGCTATATTGTGATTTTGAGGCCAGGGCTGCAGGGCACCCTGCCTCAACAAACAAACCCCTTCAAAACGAAGAACAACAACAAAGGCTTGTTTTACCGCCGCAGAGCAAAAAAGCACATACAGTAAGTAGCTGGTATTGTGGGTAGAGTGTCGAAGAACTTGTTAATCATTGACCCTTGTGGAAGCAGAGCATTAGCATAACACGTACAGCTACATTGGCTGAGTAGATTTCGACAGAAGAAATAAATACTGCCACCCCGTTTCCCCAACTGCACATCCCTTCCCCAAAGTTTTATGGCCAATGTTGCTTCAGTGTGGTTAGACTTCAAAGGCCCTGGCAATAATGAGAACCTAGTGGCCCTAGAAACCAGTAAGCCTGGGAGATAAAAATCTCAGCTTCTGGATTCTGTAAGTTGGAAGCAGTAGAAACAGGGGAAGAGGGCTGGAGACACAGCTTGATGGTTGAGTGCTCGCCTAGCTATTCATGAGGCCCCAGGTTCAGTCCCCAGCATCAGCCACAAAGGGGGGGGGGAAAGTGTGAGAAGGGGGAAAGCTTCAGACATTTTAACATTTGGTTTGAATAGCAAGGCCAGTTAACTTAGGAAGCCTAGCCCTTTGTTCATTTCTGATCTTAGTGTTACAGAGCAAAGTAACACTGTTTCTGTTACTCGGAAGTAGCCAGGGCTCCTCCCAACCCTTACTTTTTATTGCTGCATTGGGCTTTGTTTTCGTGCTTGTGGCAGGAACATTATACCCAATTTAAAATCTGATGCAACATGAAATACTTACATTAGAAACATAATAAGTGTTATGGTAAACCTCCTGTTGATTCTACATGGCTTTCAGGTCAACACAGAGAGAGTTAAAAGAATACTTAATAAACTCCTTCCTTTGAATGGTGGGGGTTTAGACAGGGTCTCACTGTGTAGCCCACCCAAAGTGACCCGAAGATTCTCCTGCTTGAACCTCTCGAATGCTGGGATGACAGGCATTTGCCAGTATACTCAAATGCAGGAAGCTTTTTAGTTTAAATACTGTAGGTTTGCAAACTTTCATCTCCAAAGGATAAGTAACATAAAATTAATGTTGCAAAGAGCCTATCTCCACTGGATCAGCTGAGCCTTTGTCCTCACACGGCATTCCAGGGGGGCTGGAAGAACCTTCAGAAAAGAATTGTGCTCATTTTCCTGACAGCCTTCTGTAGAGTTGGTCTCTGGCAGAGGGCAGATAAACACTTCTTACAACTTTGTTTGAACTTCCTAAAAGGAAGCCTGAGATCCATTTTTTCTTAGAAGTTTAAGCTTGGGCCCCCTTCCCCCCATCAGAACTTTCAAGCTGCCTGTGTGTTAGAATTAGTGCCAAACCGAATGCGGGGAGGCCAGGCAGCTATCTGCTCAGCGTGTAGCAGAGGATGAACTCTGCGGATGAGTGCCCCGCCGTGGCGTGGGGGTGTCTCCTGGTGCTGTTCTCGCCACCCCTTTGGCTGCAGGGCGGTGGCAGAGTCAAAGCGTGCTGGCTGGTCTCTGAGCAGTGCCATGTGTTCTCACTAGGGTGCCGGAAGTGGCTCAGGAGCTCCCTCTGACTTCGCCTGTGGAGGACTTCAGACAGCCTCGCTACAGCAGCAGCGGTCACCCAGAGACACCTTCCAAAAGGGCTCCCACCAAGGGAAGAGCGGGAAGGGCGAAGAGAACCGAGCCGGACCACTACGAGACAGACTACACGACAGGCGGCGAGTCCTGCGACGAGCTGGAGGAGGACTGGGTCAGGTAGGGCCTTTCTCCTTTTCCAGAGCCCCCTGAGCCGTTCTGGTTGTCGTCATGGATGATCAGCCACGTTTGGGGTTATTATCATCACGGTTGACCAGCCAGGTTTAGGGTTATTGCCTTTGAAACTGGGGTCATGTTGCCATCTCATTTTCTGCCCCCCCAAGCTTTGAGACAGTCCGTGTGTGTGTGTGTGTGTGTGTGTGTGTGTGTGTGTGTGTGTGTGTGTGTGTGTTGCCCTTTTATAAAACAGAAGCGGAGGGGTCCGTCTGGCTGTAACCATGTTTCTCTCACACACACCTCTCCCTGAAATGTCTCTTCTGCCGGCAGACACTCAAGGAAGGCTTTCAAAGAAATAAAACCTGGGTTTAGGGGAATTGTGTTGGACTGACTCTAACATTTCCAAGTCACACAGGCTTTCCTCTGGCACTTCCCTTCAGGTTACACTTTCATGGTAAGCCCTGAGTTTCTTTTAAAATTTAATCCAAAGAACTCCTGTGACAGTTTCGTAAGCTGTTAAGGAACCAGTTTAGTGCTGCAGCAGAAGTTATGGTTGAGGCCTTTGTATCAGTGGCTGCTTTAGTCCACCACCACCAAAGATACAGGTGTGAGGTGGAGCCTTTTCCTGTTAGGTGTTCTGACACTAGAACAGACATCAGAATTTTCTTTTCTCTTTTCTTTTTGAGACAGGGTCTCTGTATAGCCCTGACTGTCCTAAACTCAATCTGTAGACTACTCTGGCGTCAAACTCAGAGATCCACCTGTCTCTGTTTCCCCGAGAGCTGGGATTGAAGGCGTGTGCCACCGCTGCCCTGCTCATCAGAAATTTTTGCAGTATAAATGTTGGTTCATAAACCTTGCTTCCCAAGGTGTTAGGAGCATGGGTAGCTTGTCATACCTTACTTAGGATTCCCATACTTTGTACTCTTTGCCCACAAGAGTCTTACTGGCCTGGTTTACTCATCTATGTGTGAAATATTTGTTTAACTTGTATAGTGGGACATTTAACTGAAAACTCTGAGAAGTCTCAAGTTTCTGTTTTCCTTTTAATTAAAAGATACAATTTTGCCGGTCGGTGGTGGCGCACACCTTTAATCCCAGCACTCGAGAGGCAGAGGCAGGCAGATCTCTGTGAGTTCGAGGCCAGCCTGCTCTACAGAGCGAGATCCAGGAAAAGCGCAAAGCTACCCAGAGAAACCCTGTCTCGACAAACAAAAATAAATAAATAAATAAATAAAAACATAAAAGATACAATTTTTCTCTCTTTAAAATGGAGGCATTTTATTGACTGTTAGAGCTGAAATTTAAGTCCCACATTCCACGAAGTTTCATCTTCCTGTGAAATAATTCCAAGTATTTTCCCAGTGGATGTTTTGATGTGTCAGCATCCTGTACAAGGAAGAGTTAACACATCCAGAGATACAGAAGCCATCTTCGAGATTGTCTATTACAGTTTCTTTATTTGGGTGGTGTGTGTGTGTGTGTAGGTTAGAGGATAACTGAGGGAGTCAGAGTCACCTACTTCTTCTTACACCATGTGGGTCCCTAGGGATCGAACTCATGTCTCCAGGTTTGGAGGCAAGCACCTCTCCTCCACTGAGTCATCTTGCTGGCTTCAGAATTCCAGCATTACTTCATCATATGTTCATGAATTGTCACATTATGTAATTGTTCATTTATGCAATGAACATGTTCTTTTTTTTTCTTTTCTTTTATTTTACAATACCATTCAGTTCTACATATCAGCCACGGGTTCCCCTGTTCTCCCCCATCCCACACCCTCCCTTTCCCCCCAGCCCATCCCCCATTCCCACCTCCTCCAGGGCAAAGCCTCCCCCGAGGTTGCGCGATCAACCTGGTAGACTCAGTCCAGGCAGGTCCAGTCCCCTCCTCCCAGACTGAGCCAAGCGTCCCTGCATAAGCTCCAGGTTTCAAACAGCCAACTCATGCAATGAGCCCAGGACCTGAACATGTTCTTATTTTATTTTATTTTTTTATTGCTGGCGATTGAACCTAGGTTGTCCCACACACTAAACACACACTTGAGTGCTGAGCTGCGCCTCCAGCCTCTCTGTGTGTGCATTTTTAATACATACTTTTCTAATGACAGAACAAGATAAGCTGTTTCCACTTGGGAAAAATAAGACCAAAAATAAACAAATAAACCGGTCTGAAGATGGTAGGTGGCGGCAGGAAATAGCCACTCCCAGCCAGCTGTTCTGCGGTGATCAAAACAGGCATTGTGCTCCAGCATTTAAGACTTTGGACATAAGTGTTCTATTACCCTGTGGTATCATTAGTGAGAATCGGTGCATTCTTATTAACTGGGAACCTTAAATTTCATGACTTTCGCATTTATTTGTAGAGATATGAGGCGTATTTATTTGAAGTGAAAGGTCATATAAAAAGTATAATCATTCTTTTTGTGTGGTAGTAGGGTTTGAACTCAGAACCTTGTACGTGGTCTCAGCAAATGGTCTGGCACTGAGCTGTGTCTTCAGGTCTGAAATCATTCCAGAGGGCTTCTGCAGAAGTTTTCGCAAGGGGGCACAGCCATGTGACCAAATATCCTTTGCAGAAGGACATCCCCTTGACAAGCACGTGGCTTTGGGAGGCATGTTCGTAGAATGTGGAGGCGGGAAGGGAGTAGCCGCTTAGCCAGTCACTGCAGACAAGTGCCTGTGCGGCCAATGGGGTGTTATAGGTGGATCACCCTTACAGTCTCGGTAATTGAGTTCTTTGTAGAATTGAATTGCACCCCACCTCTGTCTCATAGGACACAATAGAAAACAAGAGAATATGGTTTCATACTCCTTACATACAGTGTGCTGTCTGTGAGCCTAGCCACCGGCTTTTTCTTTTTCTTTTGGCTTTTCAAGACAGGGTTTCTCTGTGTAGTTTTGGCTATCCTGGAACTCACTCTGTAGCCCAGGCTGGCCTCGAACTCACAGAGATCTGCCTGCCTCTGCCTCCCGAGTGCTGGGATAAAAGCTGAGTGCCACCACTGTCTGGCACCACTAGCTTTTTCTATGTGCGATGGGTACTCATGTGACTGTTTCCTCCTTCACCTCTCAGGGAATATCCACCTATCACTTCAGATCAACAAAGGCAACTCTACAAAAGGAATTTTGACACAGGTCTGCAGGAGTACAAGAGTTTACAGGCTGAACTCGACGAGGTCAATAAAGAGCTCTCCCGCCTAGACAGAGAACTGGATGACTACAGAGAAGAAAGTGAAGAGTATATGGTAAGGTCCAAACCTAACCTGTCTCTCTAAAGACAGGGTCTCACATACCTCTGGCTGACCTGGAACTCACTGTATAGCTGAGGATGACATTGAATTCCTGATGATTTTGCCTTCACCTCCCAAGTACCGGGGTTTCAGACATATGCCCCACCTTGTCTGGTGCGCGCGCGCGCGCATACACACACACACACACACACACACACACACACACACACGATAAATAGATTAAAAAGCTACAAAGCCACTGGGCGGTGGTGGTGCACGCCTTTAATACCAGCAGGTGAAGGCAGAGGCAGGTGGATCTCAGTGAGTTTGTTGCCAGCCTGGTCTACAAAGTTAGTTCTGGGACAGCCAGAATCTTACACAGAGAAACTCTATCTGGAAAAAAATAAAGTTACAAAGCAACAATCTAGATACATAAATGCATCCCCCTTCTTATTTAAAAGAAATGGCCATATTAATTTTTTTATTTATAAATACAATTCATTCTTATTGTAAAAACCTCAATTCAGAATTGGATCCATACAAGTACATCCCTTGGGTGGTGCTTACACACTTGAATCTCAGCACTTGGGAGGCAGGGGCAGCATCTCTGTGAGTTTATCCATTCTAGTCTATATACTGAGTTCTAGAGTACATGGGGGATGGGGTGGAGGGGGATTCCTCCTTAAATTTCTACCACATACTCCATAAAAACTTTGTTACCAGGAGAATGCCAGGAGTGCAGGTAGCCAGACACAGTCTTCCATGAGGACTTGTTTTGAACAGTTAACTGCACTGGCTTTTCTCCCAGAGGATTAGGGTTCAATTCCTAGTACCCACTTGTCAGTTCACAACCATGTATAACCCCAGGTTCCAGGGTATCTGGTGCCCTTTTTTTAGCTTATACAAAGACCAGGCATAAGTGATGTGCAAATTTACCTGCAGGTAAAGTGCCCATACACAAAAAAATTGAAATTAAAATTAAGCTGGGCGTCGTAGTCCATGCCTTTAATCCCATCATTCAGAGGCAGAGGCAGAAAACTGAGAGAGTTCCTGAAAGAGTCCCAGGGCAGAGCCCTGTGTCCTCTTGAGTTAGGCTTTCAAGCATAAGAACAAATAGCCACGGGAGGTCATGTCGTCATGGGGGCTTGCACACATCCAGCAGAAACACTGGGGAAGCCTCTGCGAGGCTGCTGTTCCCCACTGAGCTTCCTCTGCATCGATGAGCTCCCCACGCCGGAACTTCAGCCTCGGGTTCTCAGTGCAGACACTTTTATATCATAGTAGCAGCCTCTGTTGGAAATGGTTCACTCTCTGGCTGGTCTCAGGGACACGGTGTTGTTACTCTCCGGCTCTTTTGCTATATAGGCTTCCCTCCCTGTCACGCGTATGGCTGGTGAGTCCATTCCCAGATAAGGAGTTTGGGAGGACACTTGACACAAACGTGCTTGGTCTAAAGGGGACGGACGGGCAACCCTGCCTGCCTCCAGAGCTGGCAGCGTCTCACTGAGCTCCAACAGTATGTGACAATTTACCAATATAATGCACACTAGAGTGGTCCCAATGGTTCTTGTTTGAGCACTGGGATGCTTTTGGTTGCTTCCTGTGTACCTTTATCCTCATCCTTTGGGCTCACTTCTTTTGCAAATTATGAGACAAGGTCTCATATGTTGCTGTGTAGCTCAGGTGGACTCGAAGTCCTCTTGCTTAGGGCTAGTATTACAGGCGTGTGTCATCACACCTGGCTTTTCCTTCTTCTTTCCTTTTGCAGATGGACAACATGCTAGGCAAGCTCCCTCCCACCATTGCTTAAACATTATGCTCAAGCACTGCCTGTTTCCCACTCCTTTACGCAGAAATGGTGTGTGGTTATTGTTTTGTATCAATAATAAATGCCTACTTTTATTGACGCAGGATCTGCCTCTGTAGCATAGGCTGACCTTGAACCCTGTATCCTCCTGGGATTTCAAGTTTGTGCCATCATGTTTGGCTTTTTAAAATGTGTATGCACAACTTTAATCCCAGCACTGGGGAGGCAGAGGCAGATCTCTGTGAGTTCAAGGTCAGCCTGGTCTACAAAGTGAGTTCCAGGAAAGGCACAAAGCTACACAGAGAAACCCTGTCTCGAAAAAGCAAAACAAAACAAAATGTGTATGCCTAAAAGTAACTATACAATTTTCAGTTTTATGATTGTGCCATAATTTGTTGAAGGATATATAATGCTCTGGAAATAGAGTAATACCAACAAGATACTGGTAAGCCTTTCAGTTTTGTGCTCTGTGTTCTCATGCAGTTAATACAAATGCCAAAATATGAAACTGTTTTTCCAGAGGGCATGCATTTCAAAGATTTCCATTGTCCATCGGACTTTTACTGACTACATGTCCCCAGTAATGTGCCAGGGGGCCATGTGACTGCCTTGAACGTTAGTAAATAATCCTCCCCCGTCACTTCATATGCTGCTTGGAGCTCTGTGCCCATTGAGTACTTATTACAGTTTTCAGTTGAGACGATCTGCTTCTCACTTGTGAAGTGTGTGCTGCTACTGTACCTCGATTTACATGTTGTTTTATAGCTTTTGTCTGATATGTTGGTAAGCCTTTCTCAAGTCATTCAACATTTATTAATCAGTTATTGTGTATTTGATTATTTGAAATGCTGAAATTAGAAAGATAAAGTCCTTATGTCCCTCTCTGCAGAGAACTCAAATTCTTTTTTTTTTAAGATTTATTTATTATGTATAAAATGTTCTACCTGTAAGTCTGTAGCCAGAAGAGGGCACCAGATCTCATTCTAGATGGTTGTGAGCCACCATGTGGTTGCTGGGAATTGAACTCAGGACCTCTGGAAAAACAGCCAGTGCTCTTAACCTCTGAGCCATCTCTCCAGCCCAAGAAATCAAATTCTAATCAGGATTACGGAGACATCTGAGCAGCGTAGACAGTATGACTGACAACTGTATTCACATTATGTGTACCAGGGACCGTCTGAGTAAATACCCAGGGTGGGGATGGAGGCAGACAAAGGCCTAGACAGTTTAGGGGAGAGCTCCCTGAGCTGTGACTGTTAAGAATTGCATAGAGTGAGTGTGCGGCTTATGTTTGCCCTTTTCAATGATACTGGGAAGGCCCACGCTCTCGGGGACTGAGCCGTCGTCTCTCCAGCCCCAAAGAATGCTGTTCTTGAGAGAGAAAAAACTCTTTAATAAACATTTTCTTTTTTTTTCTCATTCGTAGGCTGCCGCTGATGAATATAATAGACTAAAGCAGGTTAAAGGAGTAAGTATCTAATTTTAAGACTCTTATTTAGCGTTTATGATGACTGTACCATGTGTGTAGATGTGCACTGATTATAGACAAAGGCCCTGTTATTTATATATGAGCATTAAAATTGAGAAGTTGGAACATTAATTTTGTTTGTAGCTAAAGCTCATACGGGCTTTCTAAAAACTTTTTTGAGACAAGGTTTCATTGAGTATCTGGCTGGTCTGGAATTCAACTTTATAGACCAGGCTGGCCTTGAACTCACAGAGATCCACCTGCCTCTGTGTCTCCATTGCTAGGGTCAAAGACGTGTTTTACCAAGGCCAGCCCTAAAATCTTTCTTTAAAGTTGAAGAATATCTGCAAATAATCTGTATCAGTCACAGTGGGCAGTTGATAATTTTCACAAAGTGACTACACACCTGTATACTTGGCACCCAGAAAAAGAAATACATTTTTTTTTTTAGTGACCCTAACAGCTCCCCACTCCTTTCCTGTTCTTATGCTTCCCTCCAATGCCATAGATTAGTTTTGCCTCAAGTAATAATATATATATAAAGAAATCATGGGCTGGGTGGTGGTGGATCATGCCTTTAATTCCAGTACTTGGAAGGCAGAGGCAGGCAGATCTCTGTGAGTTTGAGGCCAGCCTGGTCTGCAGAGCGAGATCCAGGACAGGCACCAAAACTATATAGAGAAACCCTGCCTCAAAAAAACAAACGAAAGAAAGAAAGAGAGAGAGAGAGAGAGAGAGAGAGAGAGAGAGAGAGAGAGAGAGAGAGAGAGAGAGAAATAAATAAATAAATAAATAAATAAATAAATAAATAAATAATAAATAAAGGGCCTGGAGAGATGGCTCAGAAGTTAAGAGCATTTACTGCTCTGGCAGAGAACTGGAGTTCACTTCCCAGCACCCATGTGGTGGTTCATAACTGTCTATAACTCTAGTTCCAGGGATCCTGTGCCTCTTCTGACCATCTCAACTCCTGAACACACATTTTACATATGTGCACTCAGGTGTGCGCGCGCGCGCGCGCACACACACACACACACACACACAAATAAATAAATAAATAAATAAATAAATGGATATTTTTTAAAAAAGAAATCATACAATATGTATTTCATGTGTGGTCTGTATTGCTCAGTGTTATGTTTGTCAGATGCAGTCATATTGCTAGGTGTGGTGGCGTACACTTTTAATCTCAGCACTGGGGAGGAGGGCTGTCAAAGGCAGGTCAGTCTCTTGAGTTTCCTCAAGCCTGGTCTACTGGTCTACAGGGTGAGTTCTAGGACCGCCAGAGCTACACAGAGAAACCCTGTCTCAACAAAATTAAAAAAAAAATATTTATGTTTTTTTGTGCATAGCTGTTGTTTATTTATTTTTATTGTTGTGTAGGGTTATGTCTTACCAAAATGTAATTATTCATCTATTTTGTTTTTTGATTTTTTTTTTGTTGAACCTGGAGTTTACTATTTTGCTAGATTGACTGGCCGGGAAGCCCTGGGACTCTCTGTCTCTTCCTTCCAGTGCCGGGATTACAGCTCCTGCTGCCACACCTGGCTTATGTGTGTGCTGGGTTATCAAACTTGGTCCTCCTGCTTGGTGCAGTAGGCACTCTGCACTAAGCCACCTCCTCAGCCCCTTAAATGAATTTTAAAAAAATGTACAGGGCCAGAGGACCTGAGTTTTATTCCCAGGATCCACACTGAACGGCTCCAGGGGACCAGTGCCCTCTTCTGACTTCCGTGGGTAACTGCACTCATGTGTACACACACCACACACTGATACACACACATATACATATTTGATGAAAAAGAAATTTTCTTAAAAGGTTTATTTATTATGTATACAGCATGTATGACTGCAGACCAGAAGAGGGCGCCAGATCTCATCACAGATGGCTGTGAGCCACCATGTGGCTGCTGGGAATTGAACTCAGGTCCTCTGGAAGAGCAGTCAGTGCTCTTAACTGCTGAGCCATCTCTCCAGCCCCCCAAAAAGAAATCTTTAAAATAATATGTAGTAAATATTTCTGTCTCTTAATCTCTGTTTAGTTTTCTTTTCTCTAGTTGACTACTGTCCACAGCTTTACTGACTGATGTTTTGAGAGCTCTTCGTTTATTGTGTGTATGTGTGTGTGTATGTTTGTATGTGTGGAGGTGCTTGTGTGCCAAGGCACATGTGTGGAGTTCAAAGGATACTTTGTAGGAGTTCATTATCTTTCCACCCTGTGGGTTCTGGGGATCGAACCTGGGTCATCAGGCTCTGCAGCAAGCATCTTTATTGGCCCCTGACTTTTTTTTTTAAAGGTAGTTTATAAGCAAAAAGGTTTCCAGGTTCTCATGGTGACTTAGCACATTTTTAGAAATGAACGTATGCTTTGTAAAAAATCAGTTTAAATGATATTATTGAGGAAAAAGAGCCATCTGCCTGTGTGGTTAGTGATGTTGCCTAACACTGTAAATATACTCATTTAATTAATACTCAGCAATTCTTGATGACTAGTATTTTCTTCGTCTTTTTTTTTAAATCACTGTTTTCTCAGGAGACCTTTTCTTTTTCCTTCAGATTTTTTTTTCACAATATATTTTGATGTTTTCCCCTTCTTCCAGCTCCTTCCAGAGCCTCTCCACCTCAGTATCCATTCACCCAACTTCCTGTTCTTCCCTCCCTCCCTCCCTCCCTCCCTCTCTCCCTCTCTCCCTCTCTCTCTCTCTCTCTTCTTTATTTCATTTTGCGACAGGGGTTCTCTGTGTAGTTTTGGTGCCTATCCTGTAGACCAGGCTGGCCTCAAACTGTCTCTGCTTCCTGAGTGCTCCGATTAAAGGCGTGCTCCATCACCACCCAGCTCTTTCTCTTAAAGAAACATTAACCCCCCGCCCCCCAAAAAACCCCAAAAGTCCACAAAAACAAACCCTCCTGGCCCTGGGGTCTGCCCTGGGGTGTAGTTGATATACCTGGTGACACTTCAGGAGACCTATTATTTAGTATTTAGTTTGTTGCGTTCCTGTGATGCATTTTCTCCCTTCTAGTCTGCAGATTATAAAAGTAAGAGGAATTACTGCAAGCAGTTGAAGAGCAAGTTGTCGCACATCAAGAGGATGGTTGGGGACTATGACAGACGGAAAACTTAGGCAGCTGCCCCGCTGCTGGAGAAGTGAGGCACATCTGTCTGTCTGCCTGATGTCGCTGCAGTTCTCTCCAGAGGCAAAGTGACTTTGGACTCTAGTCTGGGAAGTTAAACTTTGTGATCATTACAAAGTTTCCATAGCTTTAATTCCGTCAGTTTCACATCATCAGTATTGAAACATTTTATAAATGGCTTTTATAATCCACTGGGCTGAACACTCCAGTTGTGAATTTTACACTTTCAATGTGGATTTCTGTATTAAGAATGACATGTTGTTTGAGGTTTTAAATTTAAAGGCATGTCCCGGGGTGGACTGTGTTGTGAACTTTCACATGCCAGACAATGATTTTTTAATACCCAGGTGTGTTCCTCCAGGTAGAGGCCATCTTATTAATCATCTCAACAGCCCTTCAGGTGACTTATTTATAATCCCTTTTCAGGTAAGGAAATTGGGTCCCTGCCATGATATCTCTGCAGTGAAACTGCTTGCTTCCCAAAGGCAGTTCTGGCTAAGTCTGTTTATTACTCTGCAAATAATAGCATTCCCACCTTTTGTATTTCCATTACTGTGCACAGTACATTCTAAAGACCCCCTTCCCTACTGATTTTCTTCTTATATTGACTTTAACATAAATGATTAGGATTATTTTGGCTTCACATCACTTTTCCTGATACTTAAGATCATGTAAAATTAACAAATGTGTAAAGTTTAAAAATTGTAAATATATATTTACTTTTGAAAGATCATTTTAAATCCAGGGTTAGAGTTCTGTGTATTTTTACAGTGCTTTTTATCTTTGATAGTTTACATGCTTTTTGTTGTTGTTGTTGATCTTTTCACTGTATCAGAGTATCCAATTACATTTTTAATGATGACTTGAATTGTATTTCACAGGAATGTTCAAGTTCTGTACATATTTTGTAAGGTATTAAACCTAGCGTTCTCTTTCTAAAATGTGTTCGTTTGATGTCATTAGTGCCGTTATGTTCCGATGGGAAAAACTACACTCAGGAGTTTCGGTTGTGGGCACTGTCTTAGGTTCTGTGCAGGTTGGTGATTCCTAGTCCGTGGGTAGTGAAAAAGCTAATCTGTCTGGAAATGGAATAATGCTCATAGAACAGCAGTGTCTGTAAATCTCATGATGTTCTTTAAAAATTAAAATTCTTGGTAATAACATAACATATTAGCTGATTATACTGTATACATCAAACTGATTGTGTACATCCAGCCCAGTTTGGTCTATTTTTTTTTTTTCTGAAAATGTTTTATATACCTTCTAGGCATCGAAGTACATGTTTTTGTGTATACAATTTTGAATTATTTTCCGAAGATAAACTTTTAAATAATGTTTTTGTGCAACCCTAGTTCATTTTTTTTAATTGAAGGAAAATTTTACTTTCTATTTCTAAACACAGTACAAGAAGTGTTTTCGTGGCGTTGGGATTGACCCCTAGTGAAAGGGCTTCGGGGTACCTTCCCTGGCTCTCATGGTAACTGCTCTGGGTTTTGGAAATCACTGTACTTTTGTGTGGGACAGGGTTTCACGAGGTAGCCTTGAACTAACGATTAGTTCAGGTTGGCTTCAAATTTTCAATCCTTCTGCTTCCGCCTCCCAGGTGGTGGGATTACGGGCTCTCGTCCATGCCTGGCTCATACTTAGGTTATGAAGCTAACTGGTGTCCTCACAAAGCAAGCCTGTTTTGTGGAATGAAGAAAATGAAGCGGGAGGAATTCTAAAACCGTGCCATATAATTGTATGTTGGAATAAACGAAATGATTTCTTTTCCAATGTGGTGCTACACTGTAGGCTTAAAGCCACCACCGGGATATATCTGTTGGTGTTGGTGTTAACTAGCTGGGTCCAACCTAGAGAATCCCACGTAGGCAGTTTCCTAACAAATAATGGGGTTAGGTTGAACTTCAGAGGTCTCTTGTCCATGCTGACCCATGTTTCCCATACCTGCTTTTTGCTGATAAACTGTTTTGGGGGATAGTTTGTGAAAGCATAACCCTTCTTATAAAAGTTTGCTGCATAAAGTGATGCCTTATGTGTGTGATTTTTTTTTAAATTAAAAGTGTGTATAATCAATGTTTTCCATTTGAAAAGCTGAAAAATTAGTACAAACATGAACTCACCCCTCAGAAAGAAGAGGTGATATTGTTTTGTTGTTCGTTTGTTTCTGAGACAGGGTTTCTCTCTGTAACAGCCCTGGCTGTTTTAGAACTCACAGAGATCCACCTGCCTCTGCCTCCCAAGTGCTGGGATTAAAGGGGTGCATTGCCACTGGCTAGCGATAATGTTTTGTTGTATATGCTTTATATTTTTGAAATAAAGTCTAGTATTTACAGTAAATACTAGTCCAGTATTTGCAGTTAAAATTGTATATACAGGGGGCTAGAGAGATGGCTCAGTGGTTAAGACTACCACCTGCTTGTCCAGAGGATCCACATAACAGCTCACAACTGTCTGTAACTCCAATTCCAGGGGACCCGACACCCATGGCAAAACACCAAAGCACATAAAGTTAATAAAAATTTTAAAATTGTATATACAGACATACGATATCTCATTTAATTCTCATAACAGTCTTCGGCATGTAACCTTATTATTTTATGGATAAGGAAATTAATAATTTGATACATTCACTGTCTGAGTCTCATACTAGTGAGTTTAGAACTGAAGTTGGAAGCTTGATCCTTTGGATTAGCAAATTCTATCTATTCTTCCATCCTAGATTGACTGCTCAGTGACGTATTGTGTAATGTAGGGCTGCTCTGCTCAGGGTAAATGAACCTTATGTTAGTTTTGAATGCATTTGAAGTACTTTAACATGAAATACCTCATCTGGAATCTGCAGAATCTGTAAGGACCTGAACAAGCCTGCTTTCATTGTGGGTTGTGGGACTCTGGCTTCACGGACGTATACTTCAGCTTCGAGACAGAAGTTTCCTTTTCTTTCTTTCTTTCTTTCTTTCTTTCTTTCTTTCTTTCTTTCTTTCTTTCTTTCTTTCTTTCTTTCTTTCTTTCCTTCCTTCCTTCCTTCCT